ATTTGCTTGCCAGGGTTTCCATCATTACCTTTATGGTAGAGATATAATTACAGTTGAAACTGATCACAAACCATTAATAACTATATTTAAAAAGCCTCTTCTGTGTGCCCCAAAGCGTTTGCAAAGCATGATGCTCAGTGTCAGGGCGCTGATTAATCCTATGTTTGGCTCTGGGAAAAATCACCCTGGTTTAGAGGAGATGGATCGTGGCTTATTCCATGTTGCAATATTCTGAAAAGAAACGCGAAGAAAAGTTCTCTAACAAAACTCATTTATTTGTTATAAAGAAAATAAAACACCTCACTAACTAAGAAAGATAATGGTTACATTTTGAAATACTTCGGGCCAGTTGCTTTCCAGCAACCGGCATCCGTGGCAAGAGAACAAAGGAAAAAGTGTGTGAAGCAAGTGAAAGAATGCGGACATGCGTAGTAGTATACTGATAAGGAACTTGGCAAACTACAGTAAGTCTATTAGTCCAAAAATAATGAAGCTCAGCTGGGAAATAAAAAAAATGCAGTGACACTCAGTTTATAGCATTATAATCTTGATGTGGTTTTTAAGCCAGGACGTGAAATGTATATCAGCGATACCCTGAGTAGAGCCACAGTAGATCAGACAGCTACGGGAGGAGAACATGAATATCAGACGGTTTGTTGGCTGCGACAGGAACAAACATGTTTTGCTGAAATTCACCAAGCAGATTATCTTAATGTTACGAATCAGCGGTTACAGCAGTTGAGGCAACATACGGACGCTGATGTGGCCCTACAGACACTAAAGAATATCGTGCTGAGTGGGTGGCCGGATGTGAAAGAGGCAGTTCCCATGACTGTAAGGGAATACTGGTCCTTCAGAGATGAGATCGCTGTACAAGATGGCATTCTGTATAAGGGTCCAAGAGTCATAGTGCCAAAGTTATTGAGACCGGAGATGTTATTGCGCATCCATTCAAGCCATATTGGTGGGGAGGCATGCTATAGACAAGCCCGTGACACATTGTACTGGCCAAATATGCGAGGCGAAATTGAGGATTTTGTCAGTAATTGTACCATCTGTAATGAATATGCATATCGGCAACAGAAAGAAACTATGATGTCACACGAGATACCATCCCGACCCTGGCAGATCATTAGGATGGACTTGTTTAATTATGCAGGGAAAGAGCACCTGATAATAGTGGACCATTATTCGGATTATTGGGAAATTGACCTCCTTCCAGACCTTTCAGCTGAGACCACCATCAAGAGATGTAAGTCTCAGTTTGCACGTTACGGGCAACCAAATATAGTGATTACAGATAATAGTCCTCAATTTGTAAGTTTGCAATTTAAGAAATTTGCTGCTGAATGGGACTTTGATCATATTACTTCATCGCCACGTTATCCGCAAGCGAATGGAAAAGCCGAATCAGCTGTAAAGATTGCTAAGAACTTATGCAGGAAACCACGTGGCGAAAGTAGCGATCCGTGGAAGGCTATCTTACATTGGAGGAATACTCCAACCGAAGGTATGGACAGTAGCCCAGCACAAAGATTAATGTCACGGAGATTAAAGACATCCTTACCCGTGGCAAATAAGTTGCTTGAGCCCGTGGTGATACAAGGGATCCCGGAAAGGCTACGGCAGAAGAGGCAAGTGGTGAAGGCCAAATATGATAGATCTGCGAGAGACTTCCCAGAGTTAAAGGTGGGAGAACGTTGGGAAAGGGGTACCTGTTTACAACAAGTGGCACCTCGCTCCTACTTGGTGGATGTTGGAGGAACCTGATATCGGCGGAACCATGTGGACTTGCGTGTGGCGGAGCAACCAGACTCCTCATATCCAGTGGGTGGGTCAGAGCCAGTTGCCAAGCCAAACCTACTTAAGGATAATAAAGAATGCCCGTCGGACATTGATGACAGTCCTGAGCTAGTTGATGTGTCTGGTGATAGCCAAGCATCCGAGGCCTCAGAATATGGTGAGCGAAGAGATCCGGCCTGCGTGAGAGAGTCAGGCATGAGAGAGCCAGTAGTTACTCGGAGTGGTAGATGTTCACGCCCACTTGATAGACTCAATTTGTAGAAAGTGTTGCTGTTATTAGAAAAGTGGAGATGTTATGGGGTTATGTTTGCTTTTAATCTTTATCTCTATGTGCCTCTATGAGGTGTTTCCGGTTCCTTTGAAGACGCTTTATAAGCGTTGTTAGTTACTTTTACATTGTTAATACAAGCTTATCCGAAACAGGCCCTCCCCTCCAGCTGCCTTGCCAGCCCCTCCACAGACCCCACAAACACACATATACATGGATTCATCTTCTCCTTTCTCATCCCTCCTCCTTCTCATCCCTCCTCCTACACATCAACACCCAAAGTATGAAGAAGAAACAGAGGGAACCTGACGTCCCAGAACACGAGAGCAAAGATGAGATTGCTGCCGTTACTGAAACATGGTGGGATGAAACCCAGGAGGATTTAAATTTTTCAAAACACCTAATAAAAAGAGGTGGAGGTGGAGTTGCACTTAAACAGCTGCACCTTTGTAGAAATGCAAAAAGTAAAAAATGAAGAAAACCTCCTTGAATGCATTTGGGTTAATATGAAAGGAAAACGGAATGAAGTTGCCAGAGGTGTATACGACGGACTGCCCAATCGGAGGAACTAGATCAGGGGCATCAAACTGAAGGGTGCTTGGATCTGGCCCGTGGGGAACAGATCGGACTGGCCCACAATGCCTCTGCCAGCGAAAACAGAGCTCGGGAGGGAAGCATGAAGCTCCATTTTCACTGGCAAAGTATTAGGAAAAGAAACTAAAAGCAAAAGAAATGTTTCTCCTTTTGCATTTGAGCATCCAAGAAGGGACAGGAAAGCGGAAAGACAGAGAAGGAAAGGCAAGAAGGGAGGAAGGAAGGAAAAAGAAGGAAAGAGGGAAGGAAAAAGAAGAAAAGGGAAGGGAGGGAAGGAGGAAGGAGGAAGGAAGGAAGATTATGAGGGAGGGAGGATCTGAGGGAAATCCTGTCCTAGCACTTGGCCAGCACAGGTGCCCACAAGAAGAGTGAAGATGAGCTGGCCATGCCTACCCAGGGACCCCCCCCCCAGGTCAAACATAACCCTGATGCAGCCCTGAAGGAAATAAGAGTTTGACACCACTGAGCTAGATGCACCTTTTGCTAAGCATTTAGCTGATGAACAGAAAGCAGAGGAATGGGGGACTTTCCCTATCCTGGCAACTGGGGAACACCCAGTCTCTGCACCTAGTGGGAGGACCAAACAGGCCCCCAATGAGTCTTCTTCATTTAAAACATTCTTATAACTGCTCATCTTTCAGTCAACTCTGTGCAGCTCCCAAAAGGGTGTTTTCAAAAGTATCCAACACATTAAAACATAAAATAAAAACCATCAAAGAAAAACCTGGGGGCCAATCCATGCCACCTTCTCCTTGTCTGACCTCCCAGCGCCTGGGGAAAAGCCAGGGGTTTTAAGGCGAAAAGGGTGGGGGCTTTTTAAGAATATGGCTCATATCTCACAAAGCTTCCTTGGCCTTAGAGAGTCCCTTGCAGGGGTTTCTGCTGGAAGACAAGGGGACCATTCAGGGAATCCAACTGACAGCTTCAGATGCTTGGGGATGGTCTTAATAGGTCCCCACATTTGGGAAATCCACATAGATTATATCAAACAATGGCAGGGAGAAACTCTTTAACAACCCCAACAATAAAGGCCAAATGAGTCCTAGATTCAGCCACAGCACACTTGCTCCAATTAGGATCTGAGTGGGATGAGCATTTAAAGGCAATTTATTAGAATATTGTAGCAAAGAGATTTCCCTCAATGAAAAGGAGGAATCCAGGACACAGAATCAGGTTTCATTTTATACTCCACAACAGTAGAAAAAGTAAAAAGTTGATTGCATGGAAAAAATCAGGGTCGATAAAAATCAATTTTAAAATATGAAAATCAGTTTTTTTAAAACTTAAATCATTTTTTTTATTTTTATCAAATTTATTTTAATTAAATGCTTTTGGGGTAAAAATCTATTTAAAGATAATTTTCTATCAAACAATGGCAGGGAGAAGCTCTTTAACACCCACAACAATAAAGTTCAAATGAGCCCTAGATTTCAGCCACAGCACACTTGCTCCAATGAGGATCTGAGTGGGATGAGCATTTAAAGGCAATTTATTAGAATATTGTAGCAAAGAGATTTCCCTCAATGAAAAGAGGGAATCCAGGACACAGAATCAGGTTTCATTTTATACTCCACAACAGTAGAAAAAGTAAAAAGTTGATTGCATGGAAAAAATCAGTGTCGATAAAAATCTATTTTAAAATATGAAAATCAGTTTTTTTAAAACTTAAATCATTTTTTTTATTTTTATCAAATTCATTTTAATAAAATGCTTTTGGAGTAAAAATCTATTTAAAGATAATTTTCTATCAAACAACAGCAGGGAGAAGCTCTTTAACACCCAGAACAATAAAGTTCAAATGAGCCCTAGATTTCAGCCACAGCACACTTGCTCCAATGAGGATCTGAGTGGGAGGAGCATTCAAAGGCAATTTATTAGAATATTGTAGCAAAGAGATTTCCCTCAATGAAAAGAGGGAATCCAGGACACAAAGAGCGGCTGATTCAAACTCAGGGTCTCCGAAGGTCCCACAATAGACCCAACTGGCTGCCCTTCATGGGCTGATATGAATCCTCCCCCCCCTCCGTCCCACCTCCGCCCCGGACCGTAAAAACCCGCGGCACTGCGCAGGCGCCATCTGCCTTGTTGCAGGAAGAAGGATGCTGATTGGTTACGCTTGGAATGTCGGCAATGGGCAAATGGACTCCGAGGGGCGGATCCTCCAAAGGAAAAGGCGGAACTAGTGGAGAAAAAAGGGCGTGAAGCCTCCACTTCCGGAAACAGAACGGGCAAGGAGGGAGCTGCCTGAATCAGCGACAGAGGAGGCCGTTTGATGCAGGTTTGGCGCAGGGGATGCTGGGAATCGTAGTCCGGGAGAGTCTCTCTGGAGGCCTGGGAGGGACGGAGATGGGAGGCTGGGAAGGAGGCCGTGTCCGCCTGGAGAATGCCCGGGAGGCCTGTGGGAGGCGGGGGCTTGGGCCTGGGCCTCCACTGCGGGGAAGGGGAGGCAGCCGTGACCCTCTTCTCTTTCTCCCCTGCAGGAGGACGGAGGATGGCGGCGGATGCAGGAAAGAGGCGCCGGCCGAGAGGAGGAGGAGGAGAGCGGGCCCCGCGGAGCAGACCTGCCCAGTCCCGGCGCGGCTTCCCCGGGAGACGGCGGGGAAAGGCCGGGGGCTCCGGGGCTGCAGGAGGGAGGAGCCGAGGGGGAGCCCGGGAAAGGCGGCTGCCTGGAGGGCGATGCGGGAAGGAGGAAACCGGTGGAGACTCCGAGACGGGCCTGGAGGGCGGAGGCTCCTTCCCCCAAAGACCCCCAAAGCCCCAAAGGATCCAGGAGGGAGGAAAGGAACATCAGTGCCCGGAATGTGGAAAAACCTTCAAAAGAAATGGACATCTTGAAAACCATTTAAAAATCCACTCAGGAGAAAAACCACATAAATGCCTGGAGTGTGGAAAGAGATTCAGTCTGAGGGAAAACCTTTATACACATCAAAGTATCCATTCAGGAGAAAAACCTCATAAATGCCTGGAGTGTGGAAAGAGATTCAGTCTGAGGGGAAACCTTTATACACATCAAAGTATCCATTCAGGAGAAAAACCACATAAATGCCTGGAGTGTGGAAAGAGATTCAGTCGGAGGAGCAGCCTTTATACACATCAAAGAATCCACACAGGAGAAAAACCTCATAAGTGCCTGGAGTGTGGAAAGAGTTTCAGTCAGAGTAGCAACCTTTATAGACATAAAAGGATCCACACAGGAGAGAAACCTCATAAATGCCTGGAGTGTGGAAAGATTTTCAGTCAGAGTAGCAACCTTTATAGACATAAAAGGATCCACACAGGAGAGAAACCTCATAAATGCCTGGTAAGAAAGGTAATAAAATCCAATTAAAACTTTTAATAAATTTAATACTTTTTTTCTTTTAATAAATTCCTTTAGTCTTCCAGGGCCATGCCCAGGGTCCCAGGCCTGAGTTTGACTGCTGTCGGTCATTCTGATGGCAACTAGCAGAGCAGGCTGTCCTGGGAGGGGCGGGAGGCCTTGTATGAGTCTGGATGTCCATCTGTCAGTGGTTCAGGAATGTTGGATTGTCAACTGGGCAGCTGTGGACGAGATCCCTGCCTGATCCCTGTCCAAGGGCTGCAGTTGAGGGCTGCTCCGATTGTTAGACTTTGAAGTTAAACTCTGTGCAGCTCCCAAAAAGCCGTTTTAAAAACAAAGAAACAAACAAAAACCTGCGGCCAATCCATGCCACCTTCTCTTTGTCTGACCTCCCAGCGCCTGGGGAAAATCCAGGTGTTTTAAGGCGAAAAGAGTGGAGGCTTTTTAAGAATATGGCTCATATCTCACAAAGCTTCCTTGGCCTTAGAGAGTCCCTTGTAGGGGTTTCTGCTGGAAGAGAAGGGGACCATTGAGAGAATCCAACTGAGAGCTTCAGATGCTTGGGGATAGTCTTAATAGGTCCCCACATTTGGGAAATCCACATAGATTATATCAAACAACGGCAGGGAGAAGCTCCTTCCCACCCCCAACAATAAAGTTCAAATTAGCAATAGATTCAGCCACAGCACACTTGCTCCAATTAGGATCTGAGTGGGAGGAGCATTCAAAGGCAATTTATTAGAATATTGTAGCAAAGAGATTTCCCTCAATGAAAAGAGGGAATCCAGGACACAAAGAGCGGCTGATTCAAACTCAGGGTCTCCGAAGGTCCCACAATAGACCCAACTGACTGCCCTTCATGGGCTCATATAAGGCTTCAACCCCTGACCTCCGCCGGCCTCAATATGGGGGTGGGGGGGGAGACAGACTCGACCCCAAAGTTCAAGAAGGCCGCTGATTGGTCGCGCTTGGGATGTCGACGATTGGCAAATGGATTCCGAGGGGTGGATCCTCCAAAGAAAAAGGCGGAACTAGTGGAGAAAAAAGGGCGTGAAATCTCCACTTCCGGAAACAAAACGGGCAACGAAGGAAGCTGCCTGAATCGGCGAAAGAGGAGGCCGTTTGATGCAGGTTTGGCACAGGGGATGCTGGGAATCATAGTCCGGGAGAGTCTCTTTCCGGTCCGCATGGGGAGGGGGCTTGGGCCTGGGCCTCCCCTGCAGGGAAGTGGACGCAGCCGTGACCCTCTTCTCTTTCTCCCCTGCAGGAGGACGGAGGATGGCGGCAGATGCAGGAAAGAGGTGCCGGCCAAGAGGAGGAGAGCGGGCCCCGCGGAGCAGACCTGCCCGGTCCCGGTGTGGCTTCCCAGGGAGATGGCGGGGAAAGGCCGGGGGGCTCCGGGGCCGCAGGAGGGAGGAGCCCAGGGGGAGCCCGGGAAAGGCAGCTGCCTGGAGGGCGATGCGGGGAGGAGGAAATGGGCGGAGACCCCGAGATGGGCCTGGAGGGCGGAGGTTCCTTCAGAAGACCCCCAAAGCCCCAAAGGATCCAGGAGGGAGCAAAGGAACATCAGTACCCAGAATGCGGAAAAACCTTCAAAAGAAAAGGAAATCTTCAAAGCCACCTAATTATCCACACAGGAGAGAAACCTCATAAGTGCCTGGAGTGTGGAAAGAACTTTAGTCATACCAGCAACCTTTATAGACATCAAAGGATTCATCTGAAAAAATGCCTGGAGGGCGGAGGCTCCTTCGGAAAACCCCGAAAGCCCCGAAGGATCCAGGAGGAAGCAAAGGAACATCAGTGCCCGGAATGCAAAAAATCCTTCAAAAGAAAAGGAAACCTTCAAAGCCACCTAATTATCCACTCAGGAGAAAAACCACATAAATGCCTTGAGTGTGGAAAGAGATTCAGTCTGAGGGGAAATCTTTATACACATCAAAGGATCCACTCAGGAGAGAAACCTCATAAATGCCTTGAGTGTGGAAAGAGATTCAGTCAGAGGGGAAATCTTTATACACATCAAAGGATCCACTCAGGAGAAAAACCTCATAAATGCTTTGAGTGTGGAAAGAGATTCAGTCACAGGAGCAGCCTCTATAGACATCAAATTATCCACTTAGGAGAAAAACCACATACATGCCTGGCAAGAAAGGTAATAAAATCCAATTAAAACTTTCACTTTTAATAAATTTAATACATATTTTTCTTTTAATAAATTCCTTTAGTCTTCCAGGGCCATGCCCAGGGTCCCAGGCCTGAGTTTGGCTGCTGTCCGTCATTCTGATAGCAACTAGCAGAGCAGGCTGTCCTGGGAGGGGCGGGAGGCCTTGTATGAGTCTGGATGTCCATCTGTCAGTGGTTCAGGAGTGTTGGATTGTCAACTGGGCAGCTGTGGACGAGATCCCTGCCTGATCCCTGTCCAAGGGCTGCCGTTGAGGGCTGCTCCGATTGTTAGACTTTGAAGTTAAACTCTGTGCAGCTCCCAAAAAGCCGTTTTAAAAACAAAGAAACAAACAAAAACCTGCGGCCAATCCATGCCACCTTCTCTTTGTCTGACCTCCCAACACCTGGGGAAGAGGCAGGTGTTTTAAGGCTAAAAGGGTGGGGGCTTTTTAAGAATATGGCTCATATCTCACAAAGCTTCCTTGGCCTCAGAGAGTCCCTTGTAGGGGTTTCTGCTGGAAGACAAGGGGACCATTCAGGGAATCCAACTGAGAGCTTCAGATGCCTGGGGATGGCCTTAATAGGTCCCCACATTTGGGAAATCCACATACATTATATCAAACAATGGCAGGGAGAAGCTCCTTCCCACCCGCAACAATGAAGGTCAAATGAGTCCTAGATTCAGCCACAGCACCAATTCAGCACCAATTCAGCTCCAATGAGGATCTGAGTGGGATGAGCATTCAAAGGAAATTTATTAGAATATTGTAGCAAAGAGATTTCCCTCAATGAAAAGAGGGAATCCAGGACACAAAGAGCGGCTGATTCAAACTCAGGGTCTCCAAAGGTCCCACAATAGACCCAACTGGCTGCTCTTCATGGGCTCATATAAGGCTTCAACCCCTGACCTCCGCCGGCCTCAATATGGGGGGGGGAGACCGGACCCCAAAGTTCAAGAAGGCCGCTGATTGGTCGCGCTTGGGATGTCGACGATTGGCAAATGGATTCCGAGGGGTGGATCCTCCAAAGAAAAAGGCGGAACTAGTGGAGAAAAAAGGGCGTGAAATCTCCACTTCCGGAAACAAAACGGGCAACGAAGGAAGCTGCCTGAATCGGCGAAAGAGGAGGCCGTTTGATGCAGGTTTGGCACAGGGGATGCTGGGAATCATAGTCCGGGAGAGTCTCTTTCCGGTCCGCATGGGGAGGGGGCTTGGGCCTGGGCCTCCCCTGCAGGGAAGTGGACGCAGCCGTGACCCTCTTCTCTTTCTCCCCTGCAGGAGGACGGAGGATGGCGGCAGATGCAGGAAAGAGGTGCCGGCCAAGAGGAGGAGAGCGGGCCCCGCGGAGCAGACCTGCCCGGTCCCGGTGTGGCTTCCCAGGGAGATGGCGGGGAAAGGCCGGGGGGCTCCGGGGCCGCAGGAGGGAGGAGCCCAGGGGGAGCCCGGGAAAGGCAGCTGCCTGGAGGGCGATGCGGGGAGGAGGAAATGGGCGGAGACCCCGAGATGGGCCTGGAGGGCGGAGGCTCCTTCAGAAGACCCCCAAAGACCCAAAGGATCCAGGAGGGAGGAAAGAAACATCAGTGCCCGGAATGCAAGAAATCCTTCAAAAAAACCGGAGATCTTCAAAGGCATCTAAGGATCCACTCAGGAGAAAAACCTTATAAGTGCCTTGAGTGTGGAAAGAGGTTCAGTCGGCGGAGCAGCCTTTATACACATCAAAGGATCCACTGGGGAGAAAAACCTCATAAATGCCTTGAGTGTGGAAAGAGATTCAATCAGAGTGGAAACTTTTATAGACATCAGAGGATCCACTCGGGAGAGAAGCCTCATAAATGCCTGGAGTGTGGAAAGAGATTCAGTCAGAGGGGAAACCTTTATACACATCAAAGGATCCACACAGGAGAAAAGCCTCATAAATGCCTGGAGTGTGGAAAGAGCTTCAGTCTGAAGGGAAATCTTTATATACATCAAAGAATCCACACAAGAGAAAAACCACAAAAACGCCTGGCAAGAAAGGTAATAAAATCCAATTAAAACTTTCACTGTTAATAAATTTAATATATTTTTCTTTTAATAAATTCCTTTAGTCTTCCAGGGCCATGCCCAGGGTCCTAGGCCTGAGTTTGACTGCTGTCGGTCATTCTGATGGCGACTAGCAGAGCAGGCTGTCCTGGGAGGGGCGGGAGGCCTTGTATGAGTCTGGATGTCCATCTGTCAGTGGTTCAGGAATGTTGGATTCTCAACTGGGCAGCTGTGGACGAGATCCCTGCCTGATCCCTGTCCAAGGGCTGTAGTTGAGGGCTGCTCTGACACAGGATCCAGCCCTCCCTCCGCCCGGCCTAAAGCCAGTGCTGCAGTGCTGCCTGCCCCAAGAGGAGATCAACCCTGCTGGTAATTCAATCAAGTTCAAAATTCGAGGAGAAAATTTCGCTCTCTCTTTCTGTCCTTAAACTTGGCACCATCTAACAACATGGTGTCAGGAAAAGGTGCCTCACCTAAGCAGAAATAATGGGGGGAGCTCACCCGGGATGATGGAACAAAACACAAAACAGCAGGGCAACCCAAAGGGAATGCGATGGGAAGTTCACCCAGAGCTACGTTAATGAGTGGCGCTTCCCTGAACAGAATGCAGCCTACATCCAAAGAGCTTTGCCTTTTGTGCAAAAAGGTTAGAAAAGGGCAGCTTGAGTGTTGGTTTGTTCGCCTCCTACAGACATTTGCCTGGCATTGGTGCACATAGAAAAGGTGGAGCAGGTGAAGTTTCATAGGGAATCTGCCATCTCTTAGGGAACTCTGAGGGCTTTATGACCTCATCCATGCAGGCTAAACTGCCAGTTACTGTCAGTTGTCAGAGTGAAGATGCCTTCAAGAGGTTCGTCAGTCTTCAGAAGAGCTCCTGGACTCTGGGAAATCTTCCTTCTATTTGCAGCCAATTTATCAAGAATTGGATTGCAAGGACGAAAACGCTCATTTGGCCCCTTCTTAGGAAAGGGAAGCAGAGAGAAAATGAGAACACCCAGCCATTTTCCCTGTTACTTTTATTTGTTGGCTGATGGATTTAAATCATGTCTTCATCTCCAAACTCAGGCACCAAGTTTGGTGTGGAGCTGAAAAGAATTTGATGACCTGATTTGAGAGACTTCAAGAGAAGCAAAGGGGTTTCTTTGTCCACCTGAAAATACAGATCCTCAAATAATCCAAGCCAAGCAAAAACATTTATTAAGGGAGGGGGGTTCATGTTTTTAAGAGGGCACAGAAACAAATGGTACATACATTCAGTGTCAGGAAACAAATGATGAAACAATATGAAGCAACAGCATCACACAGTCCGTTTAACTTGCTGTGAATTCACTTCCTTCCTTAGACTTTGCCTCGGTCTCCTCCTCCTCTGCCCCTAGGCCTTTTCTCAAGGGTTGGTCTTGCAGGAGGAGGGGGGGAGATGGGGGGAGGAGGCTTCTTGTGTAGGACATCTGTGAGCTGATGTTCAAAGTTATCCAGAGGAACCAACGTCCCGAGTTCAGGATACTAATCCCTACAGAGAGCAAAGGAGAGAAAACAATTCTTTATATCTAAAATTATTATTTCTATTCCTGGATCATTGTGGTTGGGAGAGCTTTTGCTCTGTGATGGGGATCTGTGAGAGGTAAAGTAGGGAATCAACCAGAGAGGTTTATAGAGAAGGAAGGTCTCTTCTCTTCCCAAATTCAAGGCTGCCCAGAGACGGAGCGTAGGCCAAGCCCTTCATGAGCCTCAGAAAAGAACTCAGTCAACAATAATGTGATAAAAGGATTTCTGGGACATTCTGCTCAGGGAAGGAATTCTCACATGTACACCTGGGCAAAACTCTTATTATATTAAAAATGAACCCCCCCCCCTGTGGCTGAAGGAACAGCCTAACCCCCCTCCCACCAGCCTAGGAGCATGTATGGAAGGAGGGTCAAGAGCCTTATTTTCAAGGGAAGAATGAACCCAGGAGAGAAATTTCCAGGCGCATGGAAAGAACTGTGGGCAAAATGGAAATTGGTAAGTTTCCCCACAAGTTTCCAGTAGCAACCCCTGAATCTCAAGATCCAAGTGTTTCTTCTTCTAAGAACATAGTAGATAACAGAAAAGCAGAAAAGCAACCTGAGATCCATTACTTAGGAACACGTACTCGTCACCTTCTCTAATATTTTCCCTCTTTTCTGCAGTGTATAAATATACCTGTTGGTCTGCAGTGGAGTCTCCCACTATTCTTTTGCAGGACAGCCACTGCGGTACATACCGTTCAATAAACACAGCAGTGAGCCTGGATTATTTGCTTTGGGTTGTGCCTTTTGATTCACACTGGGCAAAACGGTGCACAATAGGACAATTCTTGGGACCAATATACCTCTATAGAATGCGTCCAAAATAGAGGACCCATATATTCCTTTGGGATCGAAATTTGGAAAGTTTTAGCGCTGCAGTGCTCCTGTGCAGCTGCAGTGAAAGTAGGATAGTTTCCAACACTTACAGAAAGCTTCTCGCCAGCTACTGGGAAACACTATGGGGAGGTATATAAGCCTAAATATAATTGCTATTTTAGTGACACCGTATCCATCACATGATTATATGAAATCTACCAGTGGGACAGCTTGCCTTCCAAAAATTGTAGGTGCTTTATCACTGGAGGCTTTTAAGAATAGACTGTGGACAGCCACTTCTTTCAAATTGCAGTGTTCTCCTGTTTAAGCAGGGGGTTGGACTAGAAGACCTCCAAGGTCCCTCTGATTCTCTATCCTGACTATAGTGAAAAAAAGGAGTAGCAGGGACACGATAGCACAGTTCCAATACCTGAGGGGCTGCCACAAGGAAGAGGGGAGGGGTCAGCCTATTTTCCAAAGCACCAGAAGGGAAGACAAGAAATAATGGGTGGAAAATAACCAGGGAGACAAGTACCCTGGAATTCAGGAGAAATTTCCTGACAGTGAGAAAAATTAAGCAGTGGAACCGCTTGCCTAGAGAAGTTGTTGTGCTCAATCACGAAAGTCTTTTGCTGAATGCACTGTAAGCCGCCCTGAGTCTCCGGAGAAGGGCGGCATATAAATCAAATTAAAAAAAAAAAAGATTGGGCAACCGTTTGTCTGAAACGGTAGAGGATTTCCTGCCTGAGCAGAGGGGTGGACTAGAAGGCCTCCAAGGTGACCTTTTTTGATCATTCATCAAATGAAGTGTGTCACCAGGGGATTGCGCTCCTTTTAAAGGTTGGAATAGAGGTAACATATCACCAGTTGTTATGAGAAGAAAGGCCTAGCCCAGTTAATAATGCCTAGCAACTTTTGCCATTGAACTAAAGTGTAAGACTTTTGTACCTTTAAGTCAGGCAAAACTGGAATGGAAGAAGCTTTCAGTAACCTATGACCCAAGTATAAGTAAGGTTCAGTTCTCTGAATTTTATCCTCTGCAATAAACAACCCCTTCTGTGCCACAATAGTTTTTAATTCCTGCAGAAGGGCCGTAGAATCAAACTGAGGTGCAGCTATTAAGATATCATCCATGTAAAGATAAACCAAATAAGATGGAAATTTCTCACGAAATGCTGGCACAAAGTCGGAGAATTAAGCATGCCCTGTGGTAAAACACGCCAAGGATATCGTTTAGTTGGCATGCTATTATTAAAAACACCACATGGGGGCAGTAGAGAGCTACTTCAGGGGAAGAGCCATCATCCAAAATCAATTTTGTATTTAAAAAAGAAAGGAGGTCCCGACCCCAAATATTAGTATGAATAACAAAGGGCGAAAGGAAGTAATAGAGAGTGTTATGTAAATAGGTTTGTTTTGGCGGGAAGTTCGAATTAACTGACCTTCAGCTGATTGGCTGACCACTACAGCTACAAGGTATATAAAGGGAGCTGGCTCCCTGGGTTAGTTGCTGGATTCTCACTATACAATAAAGAGCTATTGTCACTCACTACTCTGGCTTGCTGTGTCCTCATTCACCCCACATAACATTGGCGATGAAGGTGGGATCTTGAGGCCAGAGGCAGAGAAGAGCTGAAGCCACACTCGGGAGAAAAGAGCTGAGACCACATTCAGAGAGAAGACCGGAGACCGCATCCTGAATCCAGTCAGGCGAGCGAGCGGAGCACAGGAGAATCCCGAAACAATGTCTGCCTACACCCCGCCAGCACCTTTCGACCCCAAGGAGGAGAAGTGGGGATCCTACATGTCCCGGTTCGAGTGCTTCATGGTGGCAAACGACATGCAAGGGCTACCGGACGTTCGAAAGAAAGCCCTGTTCCTGAGCCACTGCGGGCCGAGGGTCTTCGACACAGCCGAAGCATTGTCGGAGCCGAATTCGGTCCACAACATTTCCTGGTCGACGCTACAGACCCTGCTGAAAGACCACTATTGCACCTATCCGTTTAAAGCCTAGGCGGGTACCGTTCGCCCTGAAGCCCAAAATTGACATTGAACTGGACAAATTAATCAAACAAGGGGTGCTCGTTCCAGTCGACCACGTCAAATGGGAAACCCCAATTGTAACACCGGTAAAGCCGGACGGATCAGTGCGCATATGCGCTGATTATAAATGCACAATTAATAAGGCCCTGCAGCAGAGCGCCTATCCAGTGCCCATCGTACACCACCTATTGCATTCCCTGGGTCCCAGCAAGATCTTCGCAAAACTCGATCTTGCGCAGGCGTACCAGCAACTGCCGGTAGATGGCGCTACTGCAGAGGCACAGACTATCATAACCCACAGAGGGGCCTTCAAGTGCACCCGCCTGCAATTCGGAGTAAGCAAAGAAAACGGGACGAATTAACAATGCAAGGGGGTTGTTTACTATGGGGCGATCGGGTTGTTATTCCCTTGCGCCTACAGGAAAAAGTTTTAACATTGTTGCATGAGGGGCACCCTGGGATTGTAAGAATGAAGGGGCTAGCCAGGAGCTACGTCTGGTGGCCCAGCATGGACACAGACATTACCGAGTGGGTGGGGAGATGCCAGCCCTGCCAAGAGTCCAGATCAGATCCACCAATGGCACCCGTGAGGGAGTGGGAAAGACCTCAGCGACCCTGGTCCAGAATACACATTGACTTTGCTGGCCCATTTCACGGACAGACCTTCATGGTCGTTGTAGATGCGTTTTCCAAATGGTTGGAGATTAAGCTAATGAAGGCCACTACCACCGACGCAACCATCAGGAAACTCAGACAGTTATTCGCCACCCATGGGTTACCGGACATCCTAGTGTCAGATAATGGGCCACAATTCACCGCGACACAATTCGAGGGGTACTTAGCAGGGCTAGGGATCAGACATGTCCTTTCGGCCCCGTTTCATCCGGCTAGTAACGGTCAGGCTGAGAGATTTGTGAGGTCGGCAAAGGAGGCCCTTTCACGTTTAAGCCCCGGAGACTGGCAGGAAAGGGTAGACAAATTCCTAATAGCACAGCACTCCACACCCTGTACAGCCACACGCCAAAGCCCGGCAGAGCTATTAATGGGGCGGAAACTCTGAGGAGTACTAGACAGGCTTAACCCCAACTACTCCCCAGAAGCGTTCAAGGGGGGAGAGAGGAAGCTTAGAGAGTTCACCATAGGAACGCCGGTCCACGCCAGAAACTACGGACAGGGCCCACTCTGGGAGGCAGGGACCATTGCAGAAATCACGGGCCCCAAATCATACAGGGTAGACATGGGGGACGGGAGAGTTTGGCGCAGACACATCGATCAATTGAGAAAACGAGTAACCGCAGACACCGAAGACAGAGTCGACGAACCAATCCCTGACCATAACTACCAACCACAAACACAAACTACAAGCCCGGGTAGAGCGGAGGACTTAGCTGAGGATTCTGGTATCCAGCGCCGCCCCATCGAGGTAGTCCAGGCCGCCGGAGAAGTCGCCGCCCACAAGGAAGTTCCGGAGGCCTCATTGGCGGAGCAGGGAGAAACAGAGGGTCCCTCTGACCTGCTCGACGCCGCCCTTCCGACTGAACTGCACAGGTCAACTAGGACTCGCACAAGCCCTAGTCACCTGAGAGACTTTGTATGTAAATAACACCCCAAGTGACTTCTGGGAGGGGAGGAGTGTTATGTAAATAGGTTTGTTTTGGCAGGAAGTTCGAATTAACTGACCTGCAGCTGATTGGCTGACCACTACAGCTGCAAGGTATATAAAGGGAGCTGGCTCCCTGGGTTAGTTGCTGGATTCTCACTATACAATAAAGAGCTGTTGTCACTCACTACTCTGGCTTGCTGTGTCCTCATTCACCCCACATAACAGAGAGGATTAAGCAATAGAGGATCGATCAGGAAGAATTTGAGGAAGGTTCACCCAAGCCTGAATTAAAAGAGTTCCAGTGTAATCTGAATCAATAACACCAGGGACACAAAGCACCCCTTTTTATGAGAAGGTAGCTGGAGGAAGCACCGTTTGGGCAGGAATTGAAGCAAATTTTTCTTTATCCTGTGGTTGAAGCGGAATAGTAAAGAAACAATCTTTTAAATCAACCACCAACAATTGATAAAAGTTAGGAATTAAATTAGGATTAGGAAGACCACATTGCAAAGGCCCCACTAAACCAGAGGGAAGAGGGCCCTTAAATTGAGAAGGAATCCATTTAACCTCCAAAGGAAATTTAAATTCCACAGATTCCTGAGTTATTAAATCAAGCCCAGCATTACCTGCTGTGGCTGGATCTGCGGAAAAGAGGCTGTGGGGGAGACATGGCTATAGGGAAGGCACTCTTTTGTCCCCTCTACCAAGCCTCTGGCGAAATTACCACTGATGCCATCATCAGTGACAGCCTTTTCTCTTAAAATTTGATAAGGCAGTCCTTCCCATTCTGCAATCTGCTGTCCTGCCAATTGGCCCTGATGATATTGTACCGGACATACAGACAACAATTCAGCAATTTCTTCCCCAGGCATGGAGGAATCCTGTTTACAGGATTTCACCATTTTCTGAAAAGAAGATTGAACAGCAGAGTCAGAAGGTTTAGTAATCTGACCTGTATCAGTAGGAGCTGAAGGAGGCAGAATCACATATTCTGGAGAGGAAGGAGGACAGACAACAGCATTGGAATAACCTGGAGGTGAAGGAGTTAAAAGAGACAGTTCAGCAATTCCAAATTTTTCCACTGCATATCTACATAAATGCCATACCTGCAAAATCTCTACCTTAGCTCTTGGTTCAGCATGTAAAACTTTCCCAATTTTTTCCCAATCAGATAATCTTAAAGACCCCTTTTCAGGGTACCATAAGCACTTATTCGCAATCTCCTGGACCAGCCGTAAGAGACTGCATTGTGACACATCAATGTGATTTTTTCTTAAGTAAATAGCTTAATTCTTCCGCATGCTTTCTTTGTCCCTCAGAAAGAGAGGCCCCCATTACTTACAGAAACTTTTAGAAGGTTGAAGAAGCTGTTATGTCCTTATAAGGACATCCGCCGGGGGATTGGTCACTTCCACAGGCGGGAAGTTTGAACAGCTGTCATTGGCCAGCTGGCTGGCCCGAGCTGTATATAAGGAGGCTTGGGAGCCACTGCTGGCAGTCTGTTTTTCACCATTCTAATAAAGAGCTGAACGGACCAGAGCTGAGTCGCGTTTCTTTCCAGCGCTGATCTAACACTGGCAACGAAGGACTAGAGAAGAACCGACGAAGAGCTGCAAGCCAACTGCCACCTTAAGCAAAGAGCTGAAGCACGAGCTAAGTCACTACCATGTCTGGACCACAAATCTCAATGGCTCCATTCAACCCGAGCACTGAGAAATGGAAGTCCTTCATGGTTCGCTTCAGGCAGTTCCTGGCGGGAAGCAGCTTCACAGACCTAGATGACAGCAGAAAGAGGGCTCTCTTCCTGGCGCACTGTGGGTCGGAGGTCCTGGAAATGGCCATGGACCTTGTGGCACCACTGGATATCAAGCAGATGCCGTGGTCCGAGCTGCAGGAAGTGCTCCAGGACCATTACGCCCCAGTAAGCACGCCTCTGGCCAACCGATTCGACTTCCACCAGAGAAATCAAGCAGAAGGAGAATCGGTCAAGGAATTCGTTTTGGCGCTCCGGAAGATCGCGGCCAGCTGCGAATTTGAAAACGTGGACGTTCAGCTGCGGGACCGCATGGTCTTCGGCATGAGGGACAGCACAGTCCAGAAAAAGCTCCTCAGCCGAAAGAAAGTGTCCCTAAAAGAGGTCATCGAGGAAGCCACAGCCGCCGAGTCCTCCGATAGGGCAGCAGCCGCAATGAGAAGATCCAAGGGGATCCACAAGGTCCGCAGGAACCCACAGCCATCATCGGACGAGACCTCCACGGGGTCGGACTCTGACTCTGAGATGGCCATCCATAAGGTCACAAGACCCCAATGGCGGGAAAAACCCCAAGATGGCGGACGGGAGGAACGTTGTGCCAGCTGCAAAGGGGACCATCCACGCGCCAGATGTCACTGACGGGATGCAACTTGCAGACGCTGCCAGAGGAAGGGCCACATTGCGGAAGCCTGCAGGGCGGCAGAGCCAAGTTTCGAGCCTCCCAGACCCACGGACCGCGAATACCAGAGGACATCCAAACGGTCCCAGTACCCGCGGCGAGACGGTGACGGCCACCCCAAGAGCAGAGGGATCCACCAGACAACAATTGCACATGCCGCAGCAGAGGGGTCCGACAAGTTCCATGTGACCGTCTATGTGGAAGGGGCCCCATGCCCCATGGAAATAGATTCAGGCTCACCGAACCAGCTAAAAAGACTTCAACCACTGCTATCCAGGAAACAGCTAGAGCCATTCCAAGCGAGGTTGGTGGATTTCGGAGGGCACTCCATTGGCATCCTGGGACGGACCAACATCTGGGTGAAGTTCAAGGACTTTGAAGGACGCCTCCCCATCGCCGTTGTCAAGGAAGCCCGTCCAACCCTACTAGGTGTGGAGTGGTTCAAGCCCCTAGGGCTCACGATTGGCGGAATCAACAAAATTCAGGCTAGCGCACTTGACCAGCTCTTAGAGGACTTCAAGGACGTCTTCGATGGGAGCCTAGGTAAATTTCTGGGGAAACCCATTTCTTTCAATTTAGACCCCAAAATTGTACCCATTCGGCTCAAGCCCCGCAGAGTTCCATTTGCCCTCAGGCCTAAGGTGGATGCCCAGCTAGATAAACTAATTGCCCAGGGCATTCTGGAACCGATTGATCATGCGACATGGGAGACCCCCATTGTGACTCCCATGAAGCATGATGGATCTGTGCGCATCTGCGCCGACTATAAGTGTACCATCAACCGGGCACTGCCGCAGAGCGCATATCCCGTGCCAGTGGTGCAACATCTGTTGCATTCGCTTGGCAGCGGGACCATTTTCGCGAAACTGGACCTGGCCCAGGCTTACCAGCAATTGCCAGTAGACGAAAGGACTGCGGAGGCACAAACAATCGTCACACACAGGGGGGCTTTTAAGTGCAACCGTCTCCAATTTGGAGCCAGTGCCGCCCCGGGAATTTTTCAATCAATGATGGAACGTCTTCTCCAAGGCATTCCTGGGGGGTACCTTACTTCAACGACGTACTAATCTCTGGAAACTCGGAAGCCCAACTGATGGAACGGCTCAGGCTTGCCCTACAGCGGTTCCAGGCAAAGGGCTTAAGAGTTAGAAGGGACAAATGCGTTGTTGGGGTCCAGGAGGTCGAGTTCCTGGGCTATCTAATTGATAGCAAGGGCATCCACCCCACCAAAAGCAAGGTCAGGACTATACATGAGGCTCCAGCCCCCAAATCAAAAACGGAGCTTCAGGCTTTTCTGGGTCTGCTGAATTTTTATAGTGTTTTTCTGAACCAGAAAGCCACTGTTGCTGAACCGCTCCACCGCCTGCTAGGGAAGGCGGTACCCTGGAAGTGGGAAGAGGAAGAAGAGGCAGCATTCCGGAAAATCAAAAGTCTTCTCTCCTCCGACAGCGTCCTCATCCAATACCATGAGTTGCTCCCACTGATCCTGACCTGTGATGCCTCACCGTATGGAGTCGGAGCTGTCCTCAGCCACCAGCTGCCCAGCGGCACCAAAGCCCCCATTGCTTACTTCTCCAAAACCATGTCATCAGCGGAGCGGAACTACAGCCAGCTCGATAAGGAAGCCCTCACCATCGTAGCCGGCATTAAACGCTTCCATGAATACCTGTATGGAAGGTCGTTTACAATTGTCACCGATCACAAGCCTCTACTTGGACTGCTTGCTGGGGACAAGCCAATGCCAACCTACATGTCGCCCAGGATGACACGCTGGGCCATCTTCCTCTCCGGCTACGCCTACAGACTCATCCATCGCCCCGGCAAGAACATCTGCAATGCTGACGGCCTCAGCAGATGCCCCCTGTGAGAACCAGTCGTTGACTCGGCACCTACCCTCGGACTTCACCACATAGACAATGACCAGATGTGCCCGGTGTCATCTGCAACAGTGGCGACCCACACACTGAGGGACAAGACCCTCAAACAGGTACTCTCATGGACATTGAGGGGTTGGCCGACCGGAAGAGTGGATGAAGAATTCACCCCATTCATACGGAGGCAGCACAAACTGGCCACCATGAATGGCTGCCTCCTCTGGGGTGACCGGGTCGTGATCCCTCCTACACTACAGAAGAGCACGAAGGACACGCTCACCAGGATGGGCCCAGGAGACTGGCAGGAACAAATCGACAAGTTCCTGCTGGCACAACACATCACACCGCACACCACAACGAAGAAAAGCCCAGCCGAGCTTCTGATGGGGAGAAGGCTCCGCTCACCGCTAGATAGACTCCATCCACAGTACAACCCGAAAGACAAGCCGATCAACCCACCACCGACGCGAAGCTTCGCTAGCGGAGACTTGGTGTTCGCGCTCAACTTTCAGGGCCAGCCGAAGTGGATCAAGGGTCGGATCAGGAGAGTGATAGGCCCAAGATCATATGAGGTGGAGCTGGACGATGGCCGGTCATGCAGAAGGCACATCGACCAACTCCGCAAAAGGGTGAGGGGAGTCGAAGGAAACCACCCCGACAAGGTAGGACTGCCACACCCAGACGAGGTAGACCTACAACACCCCATCGAGGTAGACCTACAACACCCCGTCGAGGTAGACCTACAACCCCCCAGCGAGGTAGGCCTGCCATACCCAGACGAGGTCGGGCCACAACACCCCTGCAAGGTAGGCCTACCCCACCCAACAGGGTAGGTCTGCAACCTCACGGCGAAGGGGACGACCACCAGCAACGCAGCCA